CCAAGTACCTTTAAACGCTGTAGACATGTTTATCCTCTGCAACAGATAAAATCACTTAAATTACTTAATTTAAATGTTTTAAATTGTATATTCAAATTTCCATATTAATAGGACCAAGAGCAACTGTTTTAAAATTGGAGGAGGGGGCTCCCCAAACAATCTGTTAGTAAAATGTCACTTATGGACTTTTCTTTAGGTTTTTGCTATTTCTTTTCAATTGCTGGAATTTGCCTGTCTTAGACTTTACGTGGCATCTTTTATTTCAAGCTCACTGGGATATATCGAGTCGACATGAATGGAAGTAACTAATGTTAAATTGACAAAACGTCATCGATATATTCCAATGCCGAGTTGAAGGGTTTTTTTTTTAATATAATAAACAGATATTTTATTTTGCCGTTACATTAGCAGTTTTTACTAATGATAAGGATACAAATTATGACATAAAATGACATATTTCTTTTCATATGCATTGCTGTTGCTTACAAACTGAAGGTAAATGTAATTGTCGTAAAAGAAAAGAAAATTCAATAAAATTTAGAAAAAATGTCTTTTTCTGATTAACAGTTTCAAACATTTTAGTTATTTCTATAATAAGGATTTTCCCCGATTAAGAGAGCTGGGTGGTTGCGTCCATTTTAGACTAGTATATTGATCATATCATTGATATACGAAAATGACCAAATTTTAGAACTAAAATGTATTATTTTTTTCTCTGCCAAATGATTGTTGATAGCCTAAAATACACTATCATAAAACAAAGCTACATCTGATGGTTAATTTGTTGCCCCTCCCCCCCCCCCCCAGCCTCCTTAGGAATTCAGACAAAGTCTCAAGTTTTCCTCGTTTTGTACTGTAGCAGGAAGGAGGAAATTCGTTCGATTCCAATCATGTTCATGTCACATTCATAAATTCCTCTCTGAGATAGAAAAGCAAAATCAATTATAGAACCAAGATGATTGAAATCTGTTCCAGTGAGAATTTTGTCACTTGACTGACTTGGTAGAGCATGGGCCTCTTTATGATGGAAAACCAAAAGTGCAACGTCCTTAAAGTTGCTAGCTGTGAAAAGAAAGGAAAAGTACATACCGGGTATGACAAAAAAATTACGTGTACTATAATAATGCAATATTTTTTTCCTATTTCATGTCATTTTGTCCATTTACTTATTGTACTCAAAGGTGACATATTAAAGAAAAATATGAAAGTCATATGAACCAAGTCACCACAATTTACTCTTGTCTTAGAGAGAAGCATGTACGTGTTATAATAGTGAAAAAAATGATGGTATCCAGATTCAGCAAGAATATACATGTATCCACACTAGATATTATATGCATGATTAAACACAGTGAAGTCATCTTTTTAGTATTTTATACAACCAAAAGTAACTAAAATATATAGTGCCATTATGGCTAAATAAATCGTGTTCCATATGATACACTTCAGATCTACACAGAAAAAAAGTTTCAGACAAGTATGTTCATCAATTTGATATATCTATCCCTTTAGAGATTTATAGTGTGTGTATTATCTATACTGATCAACATTATTATTATTAAGATTGGATAAAATCTCATCTATTTATCAAAATAGGTGTAATATCTAATTTGTGAGATATTTTGTCACATGTAAAAATGTTTGAAATTCATTTGGGTTTTTTTCCAAAATGGTGGATTTTTTCCACATGCAGTTTTGACAGCATTTGATAATAAACTGAACTTGTAAAGCTACATACTTTTTGGTATTCCCTTAAGAACTTCTTTAGCATCCGTCCCTATCCTTGAGACATTGACACAGATAGCCAACAGAGGACAATTCAAATCTGTACTTCCGTAAAATGGCCGCCTCACCAGATCGACCTTCTCCACTGCTAAGCGACCAGCCAGTTCTTTCATTAGTCCGTCCAGTATAAGAGAAGACATGGCCGGTGCAAGTGTAGTATGAAATCCAACACCTTTTTTAAATGTACTAACGGTCAGTAGAATAAAAAATAAAACAAGAAATCTATTAACTGAACATGTATTGAAGGAAGACTTACTAATTTCTTTTCTGGAATTCTTTTCCAGTTGGACTTTCAGTTCCCTACATCTCTCTTTAGTAAAAAAAAAAAAAAAAACAAGAGATAAAATTTTTGAGTTTTATTTATCAAATAAATGAAAATAGGCCATGAGAGCTTTTCTCATTTGATGAATAAGATGACTATAGTAGCTTACCTTCTACCTGGCTTAATTCTCTTTCTTTGACAGATAGGGACGATTTATGTTGATGATTTAAATTTCTTAATTCTGAAAAAAGTATTTTGTACGTTAATATTTTTATTACGAGCTCTTCAAAGAAGTTAACCATATAAACAATGCTATTAATTTTCTTTTTTTTTCTTCCTAAAATAAATTACCTTCAATGGCTCTCTTTAATTTCTGAATCTGGCTTTCTTCAAAAGAAGGATACAAGTAAAATTATTTACATTTCATGTAGAGTACATGTCTTAATTATTAGTGCATTCTATTTTTGTCTTTTTTTTTCGATCTTTAGATTATAAAAAAATCAAAGTTACAAAATACATTTCAGCTTTAAATGACCAAAAAAGTTAAATGTCATAAGACTTAAAAGAAAAATTTCATTCAAAAGTGGGTCAAAGATGTAGTCCAAATGGTTGGCAAAGGCAATACTTCTTTAAAGGTATTTTGAAAAAGAATTTACTTACCTAATGTTAAAAATATACATATCTATTGTTCAAATTAAATAAAATTCATTGAACACTTTCTTGACAAATGTCAAAAGCCGAAGTTCTGTGAGAAGAACTCAATAGTCCTTGTATTCTGTATAAGATCTTGCAACATTAAATTGCATGTCAGGCATCTGTGTCAAAGTGAACAAAGGACACAGTAGTGTTAGGGTAAATGCACAGAGGGCTTCAGTTATGTAATAACAAAATTACATGCTTATCACCAAATTGCTCTCTACTGAGATTTTAAAAAATAAGGACCATGGCGTGCCAACAAGCATGATGGACAAATGATCTCTCAATGTTGCTCTCAACTAATGGGTCATTCAAAATTTCTAAGTGCATTTTAATCAACAGTACATTGTTTGAAAAGTCGTTGTTATTTCTCAGCTTTTACCTTTCTCTTTATCAGAAGCTGTATATTTATCTGTCAGTTTTCTCAATTCTTCAAACTTTGTTTTTTGATATTTCTCTTCTTTTTCTTTACAGTCAATTCTTTGAAGTAATTCTGCCTTTTCTTCTTCGAAATCTTTATTTGTGTCATCTAATGTTTTTATTTCATTTTCTTTTTCTGCAATAATGTCTTTCAGATTTTGTGCGTTTTCTTTGTATTTTTGCAATTCTTCTCTAAAATTGGCAATATCATTTTCATTCTTTGAAAGGATTTCCCTCAGATTAGCAATTAGGTCACAACTCTTTTCGTTTTCCTCTTTAAGCTTTTGACAGTTAGCGTTCAAAAACTCCTTTTCTTCCTCTAGTTGTTTTACATAGTCTTTTGAAGTTTTTCCTGACGAGAATTCAGTTTTGCAGCTCCCTCTACGTTGTTTGTCAATAATTTCTTTCTCTGTTTGCCTTTTTCCAGTTCCTTTCCAATTTAGATTGGATTTTTGTGGAGGTGGATAATAACAGTCACCTGTCCCCTTTCCTTCAACAATAGCAACTCCACACTTCGAGCACTCATTCTTTTTGATCTTCGATTTAAGGTCTCCTAGAAGTTCCTTTAAATTCAAACAAACTGTTTATAACTATACAATGTACTTGTAAGTTATAAAACATTTTTAATCAAGAACTCTGTATTTTATAAAGTCAAAGAAAACTCTAGTGCTAAATAGGAATATCAAAGTAAATCATTGTTTAATAATCTAGGTTTACCTCTATTTTTTCTATAACCATAAAAGATGCATTTTGATCAGTAAATAGTGGCATATCCCTCTGTGTAGGTGCTGAAAAAATAAACCATTTGCAAAATAATTACATGTACTCAGTATCTTTTATTACATTGTAGCATGTTGATTTCAAATCTATATTCAGAGCTGTGCGACTCTACGAGTTCAAATTGAAATTTATTTCTTACCTTTCTTGAAAAATCGAGACATTTTTTTCACACGTAAACAAATTGTGTACAGCAGTATATCAAATTGTAACGCTTCGGAACGCCTGCCTTGTGTTGAGAACAAAAACTTCGATGTAAAGTTTTATAATTCTATTCAGCAATACAACAGCGAAAACAAATAACAGTTTGAAATTCACAAGTCTCAACCCTCGGGACAAAAGACAAAATCAGTACAACTACTGATATAACTGGGCAACTGGCACTATTTCCAGTAAATATTGTAATTGAATAAATTCCCCCGACCAAAATAAAACGAAAAGGCTCTCTATAAATGACTTATAATTAATTTACAAATAAATATTCCCGCTACTAGTTCAACTACTAGCACGCAGCAGAAATATTTCCTAACTCCTAAACTGGGATAAAGAAGATAAAAATAACTAGTTCACAACTAGTAACTATAAATAAAACTAGTACAATTACTAGTAATAATTAATTTAGCCTAACCTAACATTACACATTATGTACTTCAGTCACACAGATACTGAAATAGTACACACCTTAAATTACTCTGGATAAAACTGGCAACCTTTCTCTAGGTCACAAAGAAAACGAGAGAGCAAACGATATTCAGCATCCGAGTATTTATAGAATTAACAAAACCCGCAATAATTCATAACCAATCAAAATTAATAATTCCATCCCGTAAATAATAATCAGCCAATCAAATGTAATCATCGTCCCGTAATGAAATCTCACTCTCGTACATCGTATGTAAAATTATTACAAAACATAAATAAATTAAATAAATTCATAAAACATAAAGTTACACTTTTAAAAGCTCATTTAACACTGTTTAACATTTAATTTAAAAGAAGTTACAATCAAATCTTCCGCCGAAATAACTCCAGTAAAAATAGAACACCGTGAAGCATCACGGGAAAATACACAAGTAAACAAAGTATGGCGGCGGCAGAAGTTTCAGTGAAACGTGTGTACTCGAAGACCATAAAACATCGATCACACAAGAAATAAGGTAACTTTAAGATAATCCTGAATTACAGCACAACTTTATAATTACGTATGTACAATTAAGCCAACAAAAAGCGTGTAATTAAATAGCAAGACGATGTCTGACATTCAACAAATCAAAACACAAGAAAAATGACATAGATCTTCGCTGCATATAAACAGTTGTCAACCAACAATTAAGAAATAACTCTCGCTGGACATTTCAACATTCCATGCAAGAATTGATGAATGAATTTAAAGTATGCATGAAAGTGCTTTAGAAAAATACCAAGATAAAAAAATGAGATTCAAGAAAAATGGGGGAGGGATCGTTACATTTTGCCCCTCTCTAAGAGTCCAAGTCCCTTTGGACTCAAAATACAAACAATAAAATTCACATACAACAATTAATTAAAACAATCAATGACATATTTCAATATTCTACTTTATACTCTACACTCGATACACATATACTTCCATGAACACTGAACAGTACAGCTAATCTATACACACAAGGGAAACTACTCAGAAACAAATGCTGTACTTCACAAAGCTTACCAAAAAAAATGTATCAACTCCTCTCAAAAATTCACATCTCTAGGAATGAATAAATCATAGAATTTTACAAACTATAACACTACTACACCAACCTTCCTGCATATCACTTATCAATATAATAGAAACTTTATACATAACACAAAATTCTGAATTAAAACATGAAGTTCAACATAATTTCATGAAGACAAATGAGCAGAGCACAGTGTGATAAGGTAAGTAAGCTAAAATGTACATAAATTATAATAATTCAATTAATATTTAATAACTGCCATTTAAAGAATGAATTTATCTTTCAAAACAATGGATGTACAAAATATTAGCAGCCTCTCAAATTCATTATAGATACTTGCACATAAAAATACAGTGTTCTGATAATGCTAATAATTTAGACATAAGTATAACAAGTAATGTATAATCTTTCTTATTTTCATTCACAGGATCACAGAAAAGAGAAATGGACACTAAGCTCTTGGCAAGTAAAAATATCAAAGGTAAGTAATATTACAGAAATGAATCTCATTGATTATCATCAGACTTAATGCTTAAATATCAGATAAAAAAAAATTACACATAAAGTCCACAAATCAATCTCATTCCCAACCTTATCTCCAAATTTACAACAAATATTGACAGTGCATGAAATGAATACTTTCTTAACTTACTTATACTTATTACTCAAAATTACCAATTTAATTTTGTCCTAGAATCACATCCTATGCTGTCTCCTGCTGCGGAACGGAACGCCTGGTTGCTGGAGAGTATTTGACCACTTCCTCTTTTGTAGGTTTACTTCCTGCCAGTTTCCACTTAAGCACTGGACCAATACCGTTATCTTCCATCTGGAGACATTGTAGACTTGATGAGTTGTACTTTGACATCCATTGTGTCCCTTCAGGTAAATTTTTAGAACTGTCACGCTTTCTTGTTGTCACACGAATAGCACCCCCCTGATTAAGGTTTTCCTAAGTTTCCATAGTCTCAGCTCTCTTTCTGCACTTAATACAAGGTCCGCATTTCAGGCTTTCTAAACTCACCCTCTGAGCAGCTACAGTCGGCTGGGTTCGGACATCTTGATAGACCGTCGGCATTACCATGCTGTGTACCAGGCCTATACTCAATTTCAAAATTGTAGGCTGACAATATTTCAATCCAGCGAGCCACTCTTCCTTTAGGTTCTTTCAGTTTATATAGCCAGACTAATGCTTGGTGATCAGTCCTAAGGATAAATCTTTGTCCCAAAAGATATTGTTTGAAGTATTCCACGAAATAACGAACAGCTAGGAGCTCTTTATCAGTTACACAATAGTTCCTTTCAGCATGGTTTAGGGTTCGACTCCCATAGGCTAACACTTTCTCACGTCCATCCTGTACTTGGCTCAATACAGCACCAATGCCTACATCACATGCGTCTGTGTCGAGTATAAAATGGCCGTGGTTTGGGTCAGGATATCCCATTATATCGGGCCCAGTAAGGATTTTCTTTAATTGCAGAAATGCTTGCTCGCATGAGTCTGTCCAATGAAAAGAATGGTTCTTTTGTGTAAGTTCAGTAAGAGGTTTAGCTATCATCGAAAACCCTTTTATAAATCTCCTATAGTAAGAGGCAGTTCCAAGGAATTGTCGTACTTCAGTAACATTATTTGGTCTGGTCCAATTCAAAATTTTCTCTACATTCTGCTTATCTGGTAAGACTCCATCATTAGTGACTTTATGTCCAAGGAAAATAACTTCATCTTAAAAAAGGCTACATTTCTCAGGTTTCAATTTTAAACCTGCATCAGTTATTCTCTGAACCACCTGGCTAAGTCTGGACATGTGTTCATCAAAATTTCTGCTAAATATCACTACATCGTCCAAATAAATAAGACAAATGTCCCACTGGAGGCCATTTAATGCCATCTCCATAAGTCTCTGGAATGTACCTGGTGCATTAGTCAATCCAAAAGGCATGGTTTTATACTCGAAATGACCATATTTTGTAACAAATGCTGTTTTTGGTATATCTTCAGCCTTGACTCTGACTTGGTGATACCCAGCTGTCAAATCCAGAGTGGAAAACATTGAAGCTCCTGCAACGGAATCTAGACAGTCTTGAATTCGTGGGAGTGGGAATGCATCCTTAACTGTTAAATTATTTACAGCTCGATAATCCACACAGACTCTTATTTTTCCATTCTTCTTTCTAGCTAAGACCAGTGGAGAGGACCAAGGTGATGTAGAAGGTTGTATTATGCCCCTCTCTCTAAGGTTCAGAATGGCATCTCTCTCCTCATTGGCTAGTGCTATTGGAACTCTACGAGGTGGCTGTTTTACAGGTTTACTGTCACCAGTATTAATCTCATGTTCAACTAAATTGGTTTGTCCTAGGTCCCATTCATCTTTTGAAAATGCATCCTGATGGTCGCGCAAGAATTTCCGAAAAGCTTCTTTTTCTGACTTATTTAAGGACTGGGAAGAGCCTTCATAAAGCTCACGCAAATGATCTGGAACCTCACATGCCTCACCAGGCGAAAGTTCAGTAGATCGGCAAAGGCTTCTTAGGTCACTATAAACCGGTTGAATTACATCTACTATTCCCCCATATCCTTCAACAGTACCCACAACTGTGTCTGGATAAAGCGTTTTTCCCTCATCAAAAGGGTTCATAACTCTCAGGGGTACACACAGTTTCCCTCTGATGTTAAGAACTGCTGGGGCTAACAGTAAGGAGGTCTTCTCCATAAGATCTCCACTTGGCACAAACATAAGGTCCTCCTCAACATCAACCTCACATTCACGCTGTATAAAAGCCGGTATTATTACTTCTGTATTCCCAGGTATATCACATCTCTCCACACAACGGAGGGTAATATCTTTATGCACACCACGTTGTATGCATGGAATATCATGACCTTTGAACCTTATCAGTCCTTTACTCAGGAGAATATCTGCTTGACCAATATCACTATTCTGCAGGATGTCCACTCCAAGTAACACTTCATCTTGGATATCAGCTACTAAAAGGATTTTCTTGAGGGCCAAGGAACCAAGTTGCAATTCGAACACTCCTTTCCCATAAACATGAATGGTACTTCCATCAGCTCCTCGTAAATGCGACTTTCCTTGAAGTCTGGGTCTGTTCACCTCTTTGAGTTGTTCATACACTTTGTATGAAAGTATAGTATTGGATGCACCAGTATCTGTTGTAATGTGGACATCTAAACCATTTACTTTTCCTTCTATGTACACACCATCTGCATCTGGTATTCGATTAGAAATAAAACAAAAATCTTCTGATTCATCAAAATTATCTGGTTGTCGGTCTGTTGGTGGGTCTAAACTGTTCGTCTGTCTGTCAGTTTCTTCTGTAGCCGGTCCTTGACCCACAGGAACGGCTAATGCCTGTTTAAAGGTGCCTTTGATACTTGAAGGTCATTAATTCTCTTTGGGCAGTCCCTTATGAAATGACCTTCACCTTTGCAGTAAAAACAGCTACGTTTGTTTGGTCTGTCCAGAGGAGCTGTCTGACCGGTAGACATGTCTGGTTGAGATGTACCAATAATAGGCCTACTTGGCTGTGTCCCAGTGTTGCTCTGCTTAGTCAGGTTGTCAAGAACCTTTGCCATCTCATCGATTTGTTTCTGCAAGGCTTCGATAGTGCCACCTGACCCTTGTTTGTTTCCTTGGCTGTACTTTATATTTCTGACACTTTTCTTTTTCAACGACTTGGCCTTAATGACTGTCTTAGGTGTGGCTTCTGATTCAGAATCACTGTACAGCGACTTCACCTCTCTGACATGTTTCTTAGTTGAAGGCCGACCTGCTTCTTCATAGTTTATAACCTGTCGTACAGCTTCATGTATATCTGAGGGGTCCTTGACATACTCCACATGAAACTGGGCTTCTCTATCTGCCAGACCATCTAAAAATTTCCTGAGTAAGTCTTCCTCTCTAGTCTTCGAGTCTCGCTCCGGGTGGGCTTTGACATACAGGCGCTTCAAATCAGCAGCAAAGTCCTCAACTCGCTCACCAGGCTTCTGAACTCTGTTATTAAATTTTGACAGATATGTACGACTGGTTTCGATTGCACGAAAACGATTGGTCAGTTCCTTTGTAAGTCTCTTATAACTACTTCTGGACTCTTTCGATAATTGGCCGTAAACAAAGTCAGCAGCATCTTCATGTAATCTGGGCAGTAATTGGTCCAGTTTGTCGTCTGTTGTCCAGTGGTATCTATCTGCAACTTCCTCAAATCGACAAAACCAGACAGACCAATCTTCTTTCCCTGTGTATGGAGGAATCTTTACATTGTGATGCTTAGCCCTTTTCCGGTACACAAAGTCAGACTGTGATGTTTCTCTGTCGCTACTCAAACACTCGTGAGACGTGCTACATGTATCTGATTGTCTGTTGTCAGGGTTGGTCCTTTGGTGGTTATCTTGTTCAGAGAGCTGTTTAATTTTCTCTTGTAAATGCTCTACCATCTCCGTAAGCTGGACAAGTGCAGTTTGCTCGCTTTCTGTCCTTGATATATCTCGTGCACTTCTCATGGGAGCGGAAGTCTGATTCAGCATCACAGGTACAGAACCTGTACACAAACTCACAGGCACAGAACCTGTACTTAGACCAACAGGTACAGAACCTGTACATGTACATGAGCTTACAGGTACATTACCTGTACTAGAACTTACAGGCACAGAACCTGTACACAAACTTAGAGGTAAATGAGTCCTCGCGCAAACGTTGTGACCTGGTGTTGTAATTGTGGGGAATGGAGTAAACATATGGGCGCTCTGGTTTTGTTGACAATAAACAGGACCTTGAAAACTCACAGTACAAGGAACTGCATAAGAGTTTACAGGTAAGGTAGTGTGGTAATTTGAACCTGTACATGAACTCAAAGAAGTGCTGTGTGTATGAGAGTTCACAGGTAACCCATATACTGGACTTGCTGTCTGCGTAATGGAGGGGCTCATGTGAGTACCTGTACTGGGGACTGCAGGTACATACATACTAGGGACAGCTGTCGGCTCTCTAGGAAAACCTGTACATAAATTCTCAGCAAAATGTGAGCAAACAGGTACAAAAGGCATCTGAGTTGTGGGACCACAGGTGTGAAGATGGCTCATTTTAGGCGTAACTACACTGTGTACTGTCTGTGGCTGCTCTGTATTGGTACTCACAGCTACAGAAACTGTATCTGAGTGCCCAATAAAAGTTGTATGTTCTCCATCTCTCACGACGTCTGCCTGAGAACTCACAAGCATTAAACTTGTATCTGAGTCATGTAAATTCGCTAATGGGGAGGCTTCTTTATTTGAATGAAGAAATGGTTTAGTTCTGTGCATGTCAGCTCCTTCACACGGAAATTCACATTCGCTTTCATTTTCTCTTACAGTATCTACGGAGGAGCACGAAACTCGTGAGGTAGATCTGGATTCTTGAAGACCACGACGCCTCCGTCGACTTTTACGTCCTGCCATAGTGATTTATTTTTATTTGATGCTTACTTAATAAAATTTTTGTTTCTCAAACACAGACAAAGCGTTGTTATGATTCGATCACAGGACCCGTAAACTTAAACGGATCATTCGATCACAGGACCCGTAAACTTAAACGGATCCCGCCGGGGATGCCAAAATTGTAACGCTTCGGAACGCCTGCCTTGTGTTGAGAACAAAAACTTCGATGTAAAGTTTTATAATTCTATTCAGCAATACAACAGCGAAAACAAATAACAGTTTGAAATTCACAAGTCTCAACCCTCGGGACAAAAGACAAAATCAGTACAACTACTGATATAACTGGGCAACTGGCACTATTTCCAGTAAATATTGTAATTGAATAAATTCCCCCGACCAAAATAAAACGAAAAGGCTCTCTATAAATGACTTATAATTAATTTACAAATAAATATTCCCGCTACTAGTTCAACTACTAGCACGCAGCAGAAATATTTCCTAACTCCTAAACTGGGATAAAGAAGATAAAAATAACTAGTTCACAACTAGTAACTATAAATAAAACTAGTACAATTACTAGTAATAATTAATTTAGCCTAACCTAACATTACACATTATGTACTTCAGTCACACAGATACTGAAATAGTACACACCTTAAATTACTCTGGATAAAACTGGCAACCTTTCTCTAGGTCACAAAGAAAACGAGAGAGCAAACGATATTCAGCATCCGAGTATTTATAGAATTAACAAAACCCGCAATAATTCATAACCAATCAAAATTAATAATTCCATCCCGTAAATAATAATCAGCCAATCAAATGTAATCATCGTCCCGTAATGAAATCTCACTCTCGTACATCGTATGTAAAATTATTACAAAACATAAATAAATTAAATAAATTCATAAAACATAAAGTTACACTTTTAAAAGCTCATTTAACACTGTTTAACATTTAATTTAAAAGAAGTTACAATCAAATCTTCCGCCGAAATAACTCCAGTAAAAATAGAACACCGTGAAGCATCACGGGAAAATACACAAGTAAACAAAGTATGGCGGCGGCAGAAGTTTCAGTGAAACGTGTGTACTCGAAGACCATAAAACATCGATCACACAAGAAATAAGGTAACTTTAAGATAATCCTGAATTACAGCACAACTTTATAATTACGTATGTACAATTAAGCCAACAAAAAGCGTGTAATTAAATAGCAAGACGATGTCTGACATTCAACAAATCAAAACACAAGAAAAATGACATAGATCTTCGCTGCATATAAACAGTTGTCAACCAACAATTAAGAAATAACTCTCGCTGGACATTTCAACATTCCATGCAAGAATTGATGAATGAATTTAAAGTATGCATGAAAGTGCTTTAGAAAAATACCAAGATAAAAAAATGAGATTCAAGAAAAATGGGGGAGGGATCGTTACAAAATTGTGCAGTATCATGATAACTGACTTAAATGATCCTTCAAAAAAAAAGTTTGAGAACATTTGATCTATGATCCTAAAAAAAAACACTCTGCTTACTTGATATGTATTTGTAAAAGAAACTGGGACACGCTGAAGTCAAGTCAAAGTCACGTAAAGTCACGTGTTGAAAATATACTGGGACACATACACTGTCATGTGTTGCTTGTGCATTAATTCGAGGTTCTCTTTTCCAGGTATTTTCGAATTCTATTTTCGAAACATTGCGTAACGCTGGTTTTCCAGCAAATCATTTGCCAGCAAAACTTACTTTATCTTTATCGTAAGTATTAACGTGGCAATAAATATTTCCTTGGTAATTGATAATAATTGGATCCTTTTCAGTTTCGCATTTTGTTCAATTTTATTCTTTGTCAGGTCCAGATTACCCTCAAGTTTTATAGACGCCCACAGAACCAAACGTGTTTTTACCTCTTACAAGGTCAAAAGTGATCAAACTTATCATTTACAAAGGTTAATTTGAGGGAAAAATTACTTCAAAATGGAGGAATCTACTGTCAAGCCTGCAGTCGTGGCTACTGAAAAGTAAGCTTTAACTTTCAAATATTACAGGTTTTATACAATAATTCTCCTTTATGAAAATATATGCGTAACAATATTCTTATTCTAAAAAATTGTTCACTAATACTGTATATTATTTATATATTTGATCAGTAGCATTATTACACCATTTATCTTTTAATTCAATTTTGATAGGGGAAGGGTAGAAAATAAAAATATATGAATATATGAAATTCATTATACGGGTCTGAAGTTTGTATTTATTTAAAAACAAAATATGCAAGCTCATTCTGCATTGTCAAATATCTCAAACTAAGTCTGAATAATCGCTAAAGGTTGTATTTGATACCTTCACATTATGACATAATGTTGGAAATATTGATTTGATTGCGTGAGTGCTTATCGGGTCAAACGTTTTATATACACGGTTTAAAGGAACACACTGAACCTATTTCAATGCAATTTTTCACAAATCGGCATTTAATTGAAATAGACGTAAAATACCGCAATATATTCTTATAATGTACTTCGGATATTTTAAAAAAAGCAAACCCTGCAATATGTTTTAAACATCGCTGCTTTTGAACGTTTTTTAAAGGATGTGTTTTAAGTTTTTAACTGTTTGAGTATTTGTACAGCACTTTGTGTGTGGTTAGCCATAGATAAGTGTGATTATTTCGATCACACTGGGCTTAATTATGTCCAATCAATTATCACACTAACCAGAACTATTCTTCTTTGTTATTTAAGTTAAGGATGACGTTTACTCAGGTTTCAGAAATCAGAGAGAAAATTTTATAAAGTATAATATATTAAATCAAAAATAGTTCTAAATGGATAAAATAACTTAGTTTTATCTCAATATCAATTTAAAATTTTAATATGTAAATACTTGAAGAAAATATACAGGAACAAAACTCAATGTATGGCTATGCAGAGGAAATTCGGACTAAATTTTCGATTTTTCATTTTTGTCAAAATTTTTATTTTTTGCAATATTAATCACAAAGTAAAGGTTATATGTATTTTAAGACATCATTTTGCAAATTTTATATGTGTTTAAGCTCATAAATTATTTCAAATAAATTAATGCTATGAAATAAAGAAATTCAAAAACATGTACAAAAACCACTGCAGTCAACAAATCTCAATAATTTGATCATTGACCCCATATAATATTAATACCATGAGAATGAGGGTAACAAAAGTAACCTGGAGCTATAAATAATTTAGAGTTCCTATCAGTCATATTTTTGCTATATTTGATTAAAAATCGGGAAAAAATATAAATATGACTGAGGAAATTCGGACTGTAATAATTATCCCGTTTATGGCCCAAACTGTACTTATTTCTTTATATGGAGCAACTCTGTTCCATTGCTATAATATTTCATTATTTAAAGAGGTTTGTTGCTTTTAATATTTTGTGAGTGAAGAAAAAAATGGTCATAGTGTGAAAAATTGAGGTATTCCCCGAGAAATACTCAGGGTCCCCTAGCACGAAAACGAGGTCATTGACCTAGTTATTTGAAATTGAAATTTAACACAAAAATCATAGGTGTACAATGTGCAATAGGTGGTTTTTCGTTCTTATCAGTGGAATATTTTAGTCCCCTGAGTAAAGGTATACCTTAAGAAGAAAGTCCGAAATATGTCCATTCTGTGAGAAGGATATGGAGATAACGAACAATATTCAATCTCAAAGTCCATAAAACAATACAAAACAAGAGCAGAACAAACACGGACCTCTGGAACATCAGAGGTGGGATCAGGTGCCATGGACGAGTGAGCATCCCCTGCTAACCGGTCACACCCGCCGTGTGCTCATTGTCATGATCGTGAGATCTGTCGTCAATTCAGTGTATAAATAATGGACTAACAATTAGTATGAAAAACGTCAGTCAGCATTTGAATCAATGATAAATTGTATTTGCTGACAAGGTCATTGTATCGACCATAGAACTTACGAAATGATGACTTTAAACGAGACTGCTGATATTCTTGTTTCATCAACTTGCTTGTCAATAATTTACCTCGTTTTAGAAATTGTTCATACGTAGAGCATGCTCTTACGTATCGAATCAACTGAGATATATACAATCCGTATGCAGGTGATGAAGGTATATTGCTGCACAAGTAAAGGAAGTTGACGATAGAAACGTAATTTGCCTAACTGAGTATACCTCACAGCTGCATGCAATATGCATACCAGGGGTATTAAAATCTGAAAATATTCATGGAAGCAATATTATTTCGTAATATAAAATGACAAAATACCGATCTTGAGAGGCCAATAAAACTTTTAAGATATCTTTATAGCTTTCAAGAATTACATGCGCCTCAAGAAGAAATTCCACAAATGTAAACAGACAGTACAAGTGTGGAATGTGGCAATGAAACTGCGATGTTTATATTTTTTTTCAATTGCTCAGTGTCAGAGTTGACATTTTGAATTTTTTACGGACTGTTTTAAGATAATCACAATGATATGACAATAATATGACAATTTGCAACTTACCGAAGCAAGTCTATCAAAGCGATCCGAATCTTCCAGTTTAATTAATATGGCAGAGGATAATTTTTGATTAAATACCACGAAAAATTTGGAAGAATAGAGAAACTTAAGGGTTGAATGCATGCATATGATAGTTGATTATTGCTAGTATATTCTGTGTGTGCATTTTGAGTGATCGAAATGATATATGACACATAAGTGTCACTACTACTGTTAATGAGATATGGATTAAAATCTTACGAAACTAAAATGAAAACATTCTTCCGGGGTATCCTCAGAAAAGCGGGTTGGGTTCATAATACTTGATCTGCCTCTCACTGCATATACAAATTACGTCACGTTTCATGAAATGATGTCATATTGAAAAGTGAGTGACTTGTAAAAACTTGTGATTTGGGATTTAACTGACGACAAAACAGCATGCTATAGTAAATTTTGATGTAGTTTGAAGTTTTTTTTTACGGATAAAATTTGCAAATCACCTCAGTCTGTGGTATTTTTTTTTATTGTATGACGTATATCTTGTATGCCATAGTTACGTTTTCCCGTACAAATTAGGCTCCGCCTCTTTTTGTAACCTTAACTGTGCGGCGCATAAATTAGTTTTGGGAAAATTCATGGGGTAATTTTTTTGTCTAGACGTTGAAAACTGCTTTTGAAGTGAAAATATTACTGCAAATTTACAATCAATACTTTCCCGAAAAACGGTGGCATTACTTCACCAATCAACAGATTCTGATACAATTTTTATTTTGAATAAATATAAAGCATATTATTTTATATCTGGAATTTTTTTTTTGTTTCACTTTCGATGCTTGTATGGCATTTTAAAAAATTTACCTCATAAATATCAAAAGATTGAAAAATGGTGGTTACCGTGGCAACCATAACTTCGTTATAACCCTGATTACCATGGTTGATATTTTCATATTATGGTATCATTGACGTAAGGTAAATCATATGTAAAAATGAGAAAAAATCATTGGGCGGATTTTTTTCACGGAGCCTTGCAATCCCTTCCTTTAAATTAAATATGTTGACTAGAACTAAAGCATGTAAAGCGATACATGAGAAACAAAACCTACATGCACGTGGCCTGAAATCATCGACCGGAACGGAGATCGGTAAGCTTTCTCTAAAGACTGAAACCACTATCGGTCCTATACGTCGACGCATATATATATATATATATATATATATATATATATATATATATATATATATATATATATATATATATATATATATATATATACTCCCCGCCAATGAAAACGCAACACTCTACTTTTAGGTTGAAAAATTATATACGGGATATAAATATGTACCAAACAAGTTAGGACATCTTTTACTTTGCCAAATTAGTTATTTAATGGTTGAATGGTTTTTTAAACCATTACCGAAAGTTGCTTTTTTAGCCCTCTGAACAGATAACATTGTAATAAAACATCCCCCCTTCCGACAATTTAATCAAAACATGCTAGTCCGCCATGTACAATATTAATGTACGCAGTCCGATTTCTACCATGTCTTAGGTTTATTAGTGTCTTTATCTGAGCGAAATAAATATTCTTGGGCATTTTTAATTGCCTGTTGTTCAGATACAGCGGTCGAATTTTCTCTAACTTGGCGTAGTGTAGTAACTCTTGGACTTCCGGTCAAGGAACTGTTATTTATGCTATTGAAACACATGAGCCTGATGAGTGGTTAAATAGTGTACATTTGCATCTGCAGCTCTTTTTTTCTTTATTTTGAGAATCTCCACCATTAGCACGAAAATCAGTCATTTTTAGGAAATATAGGCATAACATCCGGTAAAGAAAGAAGAATTTTTTTCCCGGGCTTTTAGTACATTAGTTATGATAAACAGCTACAAAATCTTGAAAACCCAAAATATTGTTAAAGATTTTATTAAAAATTCAAAAATTTGATTTCTATTAAGAGGGCTAAAAAGCAACTTCCGGTAGAGGAAAGAAATTCATTCAACCGTTAAATAACTGACTTGGCAAAGTAAAAGATGTCCTACCTTTTTTGGTACGTAGTTATAACCCGTGTATACTTTTCACCCTAAAATTAGAGTGTTGCGTTTTCATTGACGGGGAGTATATATATATATATATATAAAATCCAAATTCAAATGATAAACTCAAACTTTTATCTAAAGCGCTTTCGCCCCATGCGGGCTCATCAGTAGATTTGAAATTGTAAACAAGTTACATTATGACGTCATTCTCGTGACGTTATGTAGGCAACGTTAAACATAATGACTGTGACGTAATAGTAATCACAGTTAAATGAGGCGCACAGATAAAGTTTTACAGTTCATCTGATCAAAGTTAAGCGCCTATTATAAATGTACAATAATGGAGACATTTTATATAAAATGTACATAATAAAATAATTTGATATAAATTCCTTTTAACAGTTCAATTTTGGTTTAAACAGATTTATGAAATATTGTTCTTTGGCTTTCCGTAATTGTTCATTTTCCTCTTTTATTTTGTAAAAAGGA